GACAAGTATAAAGTTAATATAAATATCTACTTTACTATTAGAGTAGAATTCTATTACTAACTTACTTTTAAAGTAGGCTGTAATTAATATAGCCTACTAGCTAGTTTAACTAAAGAGAAATAATATATTATACTCTAGCTCTTTTCTAGTACTTAATAAATTAGTAGCTATAAAGTTTACTATAAAGGGCCTAAGTTCTATTATTAAACTACCTTTAAAGTAGGCTGTAATTAATATAGCCTACTAGCTAATTTAATTAAGAAGAAATAATATATTATACTTTAACCTTCTTCTTAACCTTAATAGTCTAGTCTTCTAAGATAAGTAAAAGAAGGTTAAGTTAATCTAGATAAAATACAAAGTAGGCTGTAATTAATACAGCCTACTAGCTAGTTTAATAAAGAAGAAATAATATATTATACTCTAACCTCTTTCTAAACTTTAATAGTCTAGTCTTCTAAAATAAGTAAAAAGAGGTTAAGTTAATCTAAATAAAATATAAAGCTAAAATAGTATAACACTTTAAAGTAATAATATTAGAATCTAATATATAGATAATACTTATTAATTAAAAGTAAGCCTTTAATTAGTATCTTTACTATAAATACTTAGCTATTAAAAAATATAAGAGGACTAGAAACCTAACAGCTACTAATATTATTATATTTAATAATTAATATATAAAAATATATATTAACTTTATACTTAAGCTAATATATTATAATTATAGTACGTAGGACCTTATACCTACTAAGTTATAAAACTACCTTAATAGTAGTAAGAGTTAGATCTTATACCTACTAAGTTATAGAACTACCTTAATAGTAGTAAGAGTTAAATCTTACTAGGCTAGCTTCTTAGAGGTTAAATATATATTAAGACTCTGTCTAGCTTATTACTAAGTTATAGGACTACCTTAATAGTAGTAAGAGTTAGATTCTATATCTACTAAGTTATAAAACTACCTTAATAGTAGTAAAAGTTAGATTTTATAAGACTAAATTAATAAGGTTAAGTAGTTAAATATAATTAGTACCTTACATCTATATAATATTTAGTATATATACCTTTAGTACTAATTATATTTAACTACCTAACCTTATTAATTTATAGCTATAGTACTAATTATATTTAACTACTAAACCTTATTAATTTATAGCTATTTATATTCTAAAAGTTCTATAAATAAGATAGTTTAAATATACTATTTAGTATTACTTTTTTTATAAGTAGCTTTCTAAAGGTCTAATTTTCTATAATTTTAATAATCTAGCTAGATAAAGAGTCTAAAGTTATTTCTACTATAAAGATAGTTCTACTAAAGCCTTATTACTAGAAAGCTAACTTTTACTAAGTATAAGTATTCTAGCAGTTTTAATTACACTAAGATAAAAGATTTAGTTAGAAGATATTATACTATAGAATATAGTAGTCTCTATAGTAGACTTAGTAGTAATTTTTATAGCACTAATATAGTAGCTATATCTAAAAGTAGTAGGTTCTACTACTATATTAGTATATAAATTAGTTATACTAGAATACTATCTTTAGGTAATAGATCTAGATATCTCTAATATAAAGCTA